ATTAGGTTGTCACATATGAAATATGGCATTTTTTGGTTAGTTGTTGATCTGGTCGTCTAATGAAGTAACCACCTTAGTATATAAAAAAAATATTAGAAAATTTATTCCTGGCTCTTTTCTTTCTGGGTATTTTTTTCTTTCTTTATATTATTATTACTCATAATTTTTAATAATTTCACTTTATTATTTAAACTATGAAGTTGCCAGAGAAAATTGTTCGTTTTGGGGGTGGTTGCTGATCCGGTCGTCTAACGAAATAATAAGAAAAAGAATCAGGAATAAGTCAAGATTTTTTATATACTAAGAAGTTATTTCGATAGACGATCGGATCAACAGCCAACCCAAAAATGAGTCATTTCGTATGGCAACTTCATAGTTTAAATAATAAAGTGAAATTATTAAAAAAAAAAATTAAAATAAAAACGAATAATAGTGGAAACATTTATGGGATAGGAACAACAAGCTGGAGTGAAACTACTAATAAATTAATAATGGTAAAATATTCTTCATTTAAATGGTAACAATTTAATGAGCATTTTTTACTTAAAAAAGAAAAATCAACAATGGAGTAAAACATATAACAAAAAGATAACATCGACTCGTCCTTGGTATGACGATTAACTACGTGCGGCAGCAAGGCCTCTGATCAGGATGTTTTGAGGAGCGGGAAACCACCCGTTAATTGCTGTTGTTCCGAGGTCCAACATTACCCGGGGTAGTAGCACATTTTAGGGTCCCAGCTATGGGCAAATTCCTAACACCCAAACTAGGATCAAAACATTATGAAAGTATAAAAATACATTTTTGAAAAAAAATCTATTAGAAAATTTATTCCTGGCTCAATTCTTTCCTGATAATGTATCTTTCAATATATTGTTATTACTCATAATTTTTAATAATTTCACTTTATTATTTAAACTATGAAGTTGCCACAGGAAATGACTCATTTTTTGGGTGGTTGCTGATCCGGTCATCTAACGAAATAAAAAGAAAAAGAATCAGGAATAAGTCAAGATTTTTTTATATATTAAGATATATAAAAAAAATCCTGATTATTCCTGACTGTTTTTCTTTCCAGATAATTTTTCTTTCAATATATTGTGGAAAAAAATGGAAATGATTGCAATGAAACAATGTCGTGTAATCTTACTGTATGAGTAAAAACTTGGAAAAAGAACCATTTTTGCATCGAATCATTACATGCAATGTGAAATGGATATTCTTTGACAACAGTAAGATGCCAGTGGTTAGATGCAAGTGAATCACTAAAACAATACCCAAACCTCCAGTACTTCCTAAAAAGTTAATGATTACTGTATGGTCGTCTTTCAAAGGGGTTATTTATTAGTCATTCTTGCCTCAAGGGGAAAAATAATACCAACCTCGAATTGCGGAGAGATTGAATGTATGCATAAAAATTGGAAAAGAAACATCCTAGATTTGTGAATAGATGTGGCCCAATTTTGCTGGTCGACAACACACAGCCGCACGCTTCACAATCAACTGTCCAAAAGCAGCATAGCCTGAATTATGAAATTTTACCTCATCCTCCATATTCACCACATATTTCTCCTACTGATTATCACTTATATGAGCATTTTGTGATTTTCATACGCATTCAAAATTTTCCAATAAGAAAGAGGTAATCGAAACATTTGAACAGTTTATCACATCAAAAGATGAGAATTATTTTAAAGATGGGATCAAGAATTCAGAGGTACATTGGAGAACAGTTATTCATCAACATGATTTCAAAGATGGGATCAAGAATTCAGAGGTACAGTGGAGAACAGTTATTCATCAACATTATTTTAAAGATGGGATCAAGAATTCAGAGGTATATTGGAGGACAGTTATTCATCAACATGATTTTAAAGATGGGATTCAGAGGTACATTGGAGAACAGTTATTCATCAACATGATTTTAAAGATTGGATCAAGAATTCAGAGGTACATTGGAGAACAGTTATTCATCAACATGATTTTAAAGATGGGATCAAGAATTCAGAGGTACATTGGAGAACAGTTATTCATCAACATTATTTTAAAGATGGGATCAAGAATTCAGAGGTACATTGGAGAACAGTTATTCATCAACATGATTTTAAAGATGGGATCAAGAATTCAGAGGTACATTGGAGAACAGTTATTCATCAACATGATTTTAAAGATGGGATTCAGAGGTACATTGAGAACAGTTATTCATCAACATGATTTTAAAGATTGGATCAAGAATTCAGAGGTACATTGGAGAACAGTTATTCATCAACATGATTTTAAAGATGGGATCAAGAATTCAGAGGTACATTGGAGAACAGTTATTCATCAACATGATTTTAAAGATGGGATCAAGAATTCAGAGGTACATTGGAGAACAGTTATTCATCAACATTATTTTAAAGATGGGATCAAGAATTCAGAGGTACATTGGAGAACAGTTATTCATCAACATTATTTTAAAGATGGGATCAAGAATTCAGAGGTACATTGGAGAACAGTTATTCATCAACATGATTTTAAAGATGGGATTCAGAGGTACATTGGAGAACAGTTATTCATCAACATGATTTTAAAGATTGGATCAAGAATTCAGAGGTACATTGGAGAACAGTTATTCATCAACATGATTTTAAAGATGGGATCAAGAATTCAGAGGTACATTGGAGAACAGTTATTCATCAACATGATTTTAAAGATGGGATCAAGAATTCAGAGGTACATTGGAGAACAGTTATTCATCAACATAGTGCCTATTATAACTAAATATATTAGTTATCTAACATTTCAGAAACGTTTTATTCATTTCCTATAAAATGCGTCATTTCATGTACGACAACCTAATGGATAAAGATCAACATTTCGAATTTTATATTTAAGCAGCCATCGATGATAACGCTGGATTCATTAAGAAGATGCATCAGGAAGGGTCTCAAGATTATTTATGTAAATTTATCTATAAATATATAAAGGGCATTTGACTGTATGTGTGCGTGGGTGTCCGGCGAAAACTAAAAGACTACTATAGCTTACGACAAAACAAATATATATACAGACTCATTATCACCCAAGCCATATTTTTTGTAAAAAAAATATTATCATCATATGATTTGTATTTACGAAGATATTTTAAAATTAAAATAGGTTAGCATGCATTCGAAATTCTCAGATTTAAAAAGGAAAACGAACGGTAATATTTTTATTCCCGATTATTAGTAACGCTCGTTTTTACTTTTTAATTCAGCTGATACTTTAGAAATACTATACATGTATGTATTTTTAAAAATTCTATTCTCTTGAATTTATTTTCATATCTATAGTTAATAGAAGCGTAACTTTAAAAAAATGAAAACAAAGTAAATTTTAAAAAAAGAATATTAAATATAAGTATTTGACAAAAAGTTTAATATTTATCTATTCAAATATTCGAGTGTGTGTACGTCCGTCTAAAACTAAAAAAAACTACACTAATTCACGACAAAATAAATATATATACAGACTCAGTATGTCAGTTGTCTGGATGTGTGTGTGTTTATTATTGACTTATTAATATTTTTGGCCAACTTATGGAAAATAATTTTTTATTCAGTCTTTAAAAAATAAACGCCATTGTCGTTTTGGTTTGTAAAAAGTAAATAATTTTCAACTAAGTTTTATTGAAGCAAAAAAAAAAAAAAGAAAGTCTTATTTTCTCGAAAATTAATTTAAAAACATCTAAATAAAATAAACTTAAATTAAGATATATTTAAATATATTTAATTTAATTATTTTTTTAAAGCAAAAACTACAACGAGCCTTACTTCTTTAAAAAATAATTATTTACTTATTTATTTTGGAGGGAAATTTATAATTTTTAAGAATTTTTTAAGGGAATTTTTACTTTTAAACATAGTATTAAAGAAGCAAACATTTTTCCGTAAATGGATTTAATTACTAACTATTTTGAAAGACAGTAGAAGCAAGAGACATTGAGAATTTAGTTTTGAAAATCGATTGTGTTTAAATTTCAAGTTATATTTGTATTTGAAAATAAAAGAAAAACTTTAGTTTAATAAAAATTAGCAGGAACAGACATGAGTTACGGTCAACATTAGACGTGTCGAATTTACGAAGTTAACACTATTTTATTTAAATTAAGGTGTATTTTTGAATAGAAATATAAGGATACTCAACACCACAAGAACCCCACACCAACCTCGAGTGCGGTATTTGTATTATGGTATTTTTTTAAATTTAGTTATTTTGCAATAGATAAAAAAAAACTGAAGTTCATTTTTTAAAGATTGAATAAAAAATTATTTTCCATAAGATGGATGAAAAAAAAATCAAACTGTCAATAATAAACTGTTATTCAGAGGTCTTCCGAGCGACGCCGAGTGTCCCCGCTAGTTCTCATATGAATTTCTCTTATAACGTATGTCTTTGTGACTAATTTCATGAAAATGTAAAATAACTGAGCAGCTCTGTATCTAAATTGAATTCTTTTCCTTGATGTTTTTAATAGACTGTAATAATCTTCCTTTTTGTTCATGTCATGTGCTTTTCGGATAAAGGCGCACATGGCTCTCTACAAGATTTTGTTTTTGTTGCTCTTTTACCTGTTTACTATTCTCTTTGCCTTGTTCTATCAACCATTCACTAAAAATCGTTAAGTAGAACCAACTCGCAGTGACTACTGACGGTGGCAATTAATTGAACAACGATATAATGAATTTTGGACAGTCTCTATAAATTTGATCTGGATGTGTGACAACCGATTTCGACATGACTAATTGAACCATTGCTGCAAACGTAAACGTTATCTCTTATTATATTAACGTTAATGTATTGTGGGCAATTTCGATTAAGACAATCATAAAGGCAGAAGTAATACAGTTGGATTATTCATTAAAGAATATGCCAAATTTTGATTTCGTATAGTCATTCTTCTTGTATGAAATCGAGCGATCATTTTGAAACGAAAAGTTTGTGCTAATTTTGAGGTAGTTGTGAAAATATGTAAGAGATCTGGAAGAAAAAGAAATTAAAACAGGTTATCTATTTATCTATCTATTTATCTATCTATCCCAGGCTGTTCATATGTATGTATGTATCTCAGGCTGTTCAAATGTATGTATGTATGTATAAAAATATGTATTTATCTATCGCAGGCTGTTCATATCTATCTATCTATCTATCTATCTATCTATCTATCCCAGGCTGTTCATATGTATGTATTTATCTATCCAAGACTGTTCATATGTATATATGTATGTAGGTATCCCAGGTTGTTGATATCTATCTATCTATCTATCTATCTATCTATCTATCTATCTATCTGAGGCTGTTCATATGTATGTATTTATCTATCCAAGACTGTTCATATGTATATATGTATGTATGTATCCCAGGTTTTTGATATCTATCTATCTATCTATCTATCTATCTATCTATCTATCTATCTATCTATCTATCTGTGTAACACTGTGTTGCGATATTGTTTATTCGTATCTATCTATCTAATACTGTGTTGTGATATTGTTTTTACGCATTTAGATAGATGCGTTAAAGCAATATCCATTTGAATTCTCCAAGATAGATATCTATCTATCTTGGAGAATTCAAATGGACTAATTACTGTTCCAAATTAATAGTTAAATTGAACATTCGTCGAAATGCATTCGTAGCTGATTAAGAAATAGGTCATACTATCCCCTCAGGCTAACACATGATTCCTTTTTTGAGTAGAAAAATATTGTTACAGTCTGCGTAGGAAGTTTTCATTGATCCAACGTATTTATCTTCTATTACAATGTCAGATTATATTATGCCTCTGTCTTTACAGAATTATCTTAATGAAAACAAAATTGCCGCGGGGAATGAAAACGATCTATTGGTTCAGTTGTTCTGAGATAATAGAATGGAATAACAGAATTATAAAAATGGGAAAATACAGTATAAAATGGTAAATATGTCGTTCATTAAAATCACGATGTAAAAAATAATCGTGTTAATTTTGAGATAGTTGTGAAAATAAGTAAAAGATCTTGAAGAAAATGATAAACACAGGGTTATCTATTCGCATATATACATATATATATATATATATATATATATATATATATATATATATATATATGAATGAAGAAATATAGTTTTAAGATGTGCTTTATTTATGGGATAAAGTGCTCAATATCAGAGATATAGCGTATGTAAATATAAAAGTGAACATAGAAGTCAACACTTAGAGGCGACAGTCTGTTTCCTGCTATATGCAATCGTCAGGCCACGATATTTATGACTGTATGTTCAGCAAATGTGGCACAAGGTCAAAAAGTGGGTTGGGGAAAAAAAACGGTCATCATTTGTCTTAATTTTAAACTTAGCTAGCCACAACCACTGACCCAAACATACAAAACAATAATCCTACCACCAAAACACCACATTCATAATTACCTTTCTTACCACATCTACCAAAATACCTCATTGTCTCAAAAAGAATCTTAATTAACCTCATATGTACAAATAATGTCTGTGGGTGGGATAAAATATAACAAGTAAAAGAAAACCAATGAATATATACAATATGACTTAAAATTATTTACATGAAACTAAACAAAATCATGTTAGTAATCCACCCCCCAAATGTGACAGTAAAATCAATTAACTGGACGAAATCGACACAGGACTTTAAAAATATAGAAAAACATTCATCTCTCCGAAACACTCACACAAACACGCACTGATTCAGACACAACAGCAAATACGAAAATAATAATAATAATAATAATAATAATAATAATAATAATAAAACAACGAACTCAAATAAATAAAGTAAATAATAAACAAATTAGAAAACCATTATGACCAAAATATTAGTTAGACTATAAAAATCAAACCCAAAAATCGGACGAAAAAAATAGCTATAACTGTTATATAACGATAAATAAAAAAAAATAATACTACGTTACTTAAAAATCGAAAACCGAAAAGAGAAAATATAGAAATAAATAATAACAAGTAATTGATCTAAATTCATCCAAATAATAAATAAACCAATCCCGATAAAGTTACCGTTAGAAAAAACAAATAAAGATAATCATCCCAAATAAACACAAATTAAAAACTGTTCCCGCCAAAATAATAGTTAGAATAAACTACAATAATCAACCCCAAAACCGAACAAATAGCTTTAATTAAATTCTCAAATCAAAACAAAACTATTAAATAAGTGATATAAACAAATTTTTACTACGTTAATAAAAACTGACCACTGACCCGTATATATAGATATAGCCGAGAAAATAACAGCACTCATGGCCTGACGATTGCATATAGCATGAAACAGACTGTCGCCTCTAAGTTTTGACTTCTATGTTCACTTTTTATATATATATATATATATATATATATATATATATATATATATATATACACTGGTTTCCATTTTCATGCTCGCCTTAAATACGTTATCCACAAACACACTGATCGATCGTTTTTTAGCGAAACATAATGGTTGTCATTACTTTTTTCATGTCTCTTTTTCTTTCTTCCTCTCTCTCTTTCTCTATCCATAAATATATATATATAAATATCTATCTATCTATCTATCTATCTATATATATATATATATATATATATATATACACCGTGTGTATCATCAAAATTGTCCAAATCGTGTAAAATAATAAATGTCCATCTTACAAAATGTTTAAAATCTAAAAGAAAAACACTAAATTAATTGAGTTTATTTTTCTCCGTGTTTTCATATACGTCGTTTAGACATCTTGCCACCATTGGTCATAAAAATCACTGAAAAACCCTTTGACTTATTGAGCTCTAAAGAGAACAGGTTAAAATCGTTTTGTGTCAGTCCCATTCAGGCTTGTATCTTCAAAGTCCATTCAAGAATCATCAAGAGAACGGTGAACAAGATTTAAAAAAGAGAGAACAACAGAGAGACAAACTGGGACAGGATTTCGCAACAGAAAGTAGGAATCATCATTTCAACTTAGAACTAAAGAGATCAATTAGAAAACTCAATTCTGGCACGTGAGAAAGGACTTTCAGCTATGAATGTCCAAAGAGCAGTGAAAAAAGACTTGAAAATGAAATCGTACGTGAAGCCTGTGAGGCAACTTGTTACTCCAGGACAGAAGATTTAGAGGTCACAGAGGAAGTAGATCATCTTGAATAACTTGGAAAATGATCCTGAAATATATATATATATATATATATATATATATATATATATATATATATATATATATATATATATATATAGATACACCTAGTGAGCCAGACAAACCTAGGTGGGTTTGTCTGGCTCACTAGGTGTATCTAGGTCTGCTCTACGGTTGTATTGAGCTCTTTTGTTAGTTAGTTGTTACTCGTATCGGGGTTTTTTTCTTTGGGCTTCAGACCTGCATCTGTGCGATTTTTTTGTCGACAGAAGTTCATGTTTGTAGCTCTTTCTTTTTTTAAAACCTTTTTTTTGATTTGATTAACAAATCAAAAATTCGAGGGTTTTTCGAAACGAGTCTAGTTATCTATATTTATATGTATATATATGTATATATATATATATATATATATATATATATATGAACAATTTCAATACTTCATAACGTTCCGTTCCTTAGCTATGTTTAATTAATGAACATGTCATTTTCGTTTATGATCGATTTCATCATGATTCTTCTGTTAAGCTTGAGGAGTAACTATACATTCTTATTGCTCAACGTAGAGTCCAATAATGTTATAAAAAATCGGAGAATTCCAGTAAGATATCTTTAATCATTTCTAAGATACAACGGTTCCCATCTTAATCTAACAAATGGGTAATTTTGTTTTTACACGATTTTGGACAATTTTGTTGTTACAGCCGGTATATAAGGGCCTCTGAAAAATCATCGGCTCTCTCTACTACGCAAAATCCAATGAAGGGAAGAAAAATCAGAATTATGTGAAAAAAAGGCTTCTTTGGCGGTCAGAGAATTTGCAGCATTCTATCATGTGTACACCGAATTACCAGCCACACACAAGAATTTAAGGGCTGATTAATTTTCTCTAATTTCTATATGAATTTCTGGTATAAGGAGTTATCATTATTTACACTATTCGTACTATTTCCACATCTTTTTTGTTGCACGACGTTTCGGTCATTGTGCGCTTCCGCCTTCCTCAGGTGTCTATCTACGACAACCCGTGTTTACGTAAATACGTCCCGGAATCAACATGCGGACAATCACGAAGAATAAATAATGCCTACTAGATATACACACATGCGGACAACCAACAGGAATAAATAATGCCTAATAATCATACACAGACACACACACACTTACGAATATACGTTATCTTCGTAAATCCATATAGACAATCTAGATTTATTATACATTTATATACATAAAAAAAATGTTTCCTTTTTTTCTGTTAGGCCTGGAATCCACTATTTGGGGGGGGGGCTTCGAAAGGACACGTCATCACTCTTTGAGTTCAGTAAGCCATAACTTAAACTAACGTTGGTTAAAAAGTCAAATACACGCGAAACCTGCTTAACCAACAAAAATCAAACAACTCAAAATTTAAAATAACAGAATTTCTTTTTTTTTTTCCATATCTCATTCTCTTATGAAGCTTTAATAAATTTGAACCGTGGGATTGATAAACGTTTCTTTATCCTATCATATAATACAGTGGCTTTGACTTCTTCAGTTTTATGCAATTTTCTAATAATTGTCAGGTTCTAAGACGATTTTTGATACATTATCTTTGCAAATGAAATACTGTTTTTTTCTGAGTCAATTTCATGATTTACAGCACACTTTCTGATGAAAGATACTTTATTTTTCTATGTGCTTCATCACGTAGTCGATCATGACTCTCCACAATTTCTTGTCCTTTTTGCTCTTAATAAATTTTGTCTTTTTATTATAATTCCTAAACCGCGATCCACCATCCATTTTCTCAAGCTAAATATGTTATGCGTTGTTTGCCTCTGGCCCTCTTACCTTCAATCTATCCTGTGAGTATCAGATTTTCCAAGCACTCTTTCCTCATTATGTGCCCTAGAAATTTTAACCGTCACTTACTAATGTTATGAATAAGTGTACTTTTCTTTCCATTTTCTCTAAAACTTCGTCGTTGCTCACACGTTCTGTCCATGGTATCATAAACACCCTTCTGTAGAACTACATTTCGATTGCTTCAAGATCCTTATTCATCTGCCTGCTTAAAGAATTCATAATTATCTCTGTTCGTCCGTACAAATATGTAAGTTTCTAAATCCAAAAACATATTTGTTGTGGCCTTGTTAGGGCCAGAAATAAAGACACAAGAGGGAATTGAGTTAAACAAATATATTAACAGAAACATACACAAACGAGAGTGTTACAGTAAGAATGTTCGGTTCGACTGTCATAGCTGACTGCTGGAAACTTCCCTCTCTAAAAGGCACTACCTGCTCCTATTTATAGCTGGGAGAGTCCATGCGTACATGGGTAAATTACCATAACAATATT